ACAACTGCTTGTAGGTTATAGTCTCTTTTTCAGTTTAATCATAAATACATCCCCCTGGAATATAACATAGAGCATAGAGAACGCTCTTTTAAATGCAGACTGTTATGAATAAAAAAAAATCAGGAAAAAAACTAATTAACTTATGTCACTGCCATGTGTAGTATTTGTATTTCTACATCTCTGTGATAGATCAGTTATAAGGAACAATAATTAAGCAGACAATTATGGACATATAGCTTAAAGTGGCAGTGACAATGCTAAAGTAAGTTATTTCCATTTAATAATATAATCATCACTCTTCGTCATTACAGTCACTGTGACATGCAGTAAACAAAAGCAAAAAAGCTAGGTTTAAAGTGCTTGGGGGGGAAAAGGTATGATCTTCAGTTTTATGAAAGAACTTATATTAGGGTTTCTAGCTTTTTTTTTTCCTCTTTCCCAGACAAAAAATCAAGAATCTAAATAAAAAGCTGCAAAGTAATTCCAATCATGTCTGTTATTACAAATGAAGGAATGAAGGGTCTATTATTTATGTGGGTCTGACAGATTTTGACTGTTTGAATAAATGTGATTTTAAAAGTCACACTGTGTAAACCTTCATCTCAAAGAGGGGAACTGGTTGGAGATTTTTTTAATATACAGATTTCTTGACAGAAAGTGAATATTTTTGTTTGGAAAAGAATTAATTACATGGCAAATAATGTCACTTAGTTCGACCATAGGTTCCCAATAGGAAGTAACATTGACATAGCTGTAGCAGTTTATTATACTGCTATAATTCTGCTGGTGTATCTGTGTATGTAGGCAAGTGATAAGGAAGAGTTACACTCCTAAACTGCTTTGAAATTAATTCAGAGATGATTGACTCTCCATCAAGACTTGCTAAGTCTGAGCTATGGGACTTATAGCACATAGTACACTAAATAAGCAAGGCCTGGACTCAAAACTTGGATAATAGGTTAAAGTATCCTGCTTCTGGGTCCTAAAATGTCTGTTTCTTTAGATTCCTAACAGCCTAGTGGATTTGTGTATTTCTTTCAAATGCTGGCTGATTCAGACTGAGTTGTCAAAGGACTTGCTGCACATCACACCAGATCCCCTTGTCATTAACAGCTGTTCAAATCTGAAGTACCTCTAGAAAAATGTTGTTTAAATAGCCCATAGTTTATAGAAAACTGGAATTTACCAGAAGAACAAGAGCTGGTAACTAAAAAAAAAAAAATCTGGAGGAAAAAATCCCAACCACAAAGCCCAGAAGTGCTGGACAGTGAGTATCTCTTCCTGTCCTGAGACCAGATACATCAGAGTTGACATCCATCTCTTCAGAGATCACCCTCTTCCCATATGTGTGGCAGAATATGCCCAGTCACCAGTGTGCAGAGAACTGTGTAGTGAGGACAGGTGCATACATACCATGCCACCTAGGCATACATACCATCTGCTAATGCAGTTACAGGACACAAGGCTTGGTGTCACATCAGTGCAGCTGGTCCTTCTTCAGCTGTCTCAGAGTTGGGGCAGGGTGCAAGGTGTCCTGGGGAGGAAGGGCAGACTCAGTCCTGAGCTTGTCCTTGGCTGTCTGCTGGTGGTTAATAAGAGAAGGGGTGATCCTAGCTGAAGTCTCTTTGGTGAAATTGTGTTTCTCTAACAGGACTGTAGCAGGGAAAGGCAAGATGGGTCTCCTCAGCCCTTGGTGACATACTCTGGGGGCAGTGATGTTAAACCAGCTGTGGGAGAAACCTGGGAAGGTCCTGGGAATCAGAACTGCAGTCTGGAGATCTCCTGAAGTGGGATGCTTTTCTTGCAGCTCTGACAGCTAGAAGTGAAGAGACAATGTCGATGTTCTTTAAGTATGCAAAGGGCATCCTGCTACGGGAAGTATCTGGCCTGGCTACAGCTCTGCATTCAGAACACAGTGGGAAGTAACAGCAGCGGATGACCATGCCCTAGATTGATCACAAGCCAACAGCTCTGGTCTGTGCTGAACCCTGAAACTCTGTCCCATCCTTTTCAGAACTAAGCTTATGGTGAAAGCAAGGTAGGACTTCTCAGATGAAACACTCCCTTTTTATTCTCTACAAATGGAGACCAGTATATGCCATAGAATTTATACAACAGTGGGGATTGGAATTCATCCTCAGAGGCCCAAAGGAGAGTGGAACTTCCCATTTGCCAAGCATCAAGCAATCTTTTTCCTATAAATGTAATTTTTTTTTCACTTTTCTGATAGTTTCAGATAAAATGTCAGAGTATTTGTATACGAAATTCAAAGTGTTAGTGCCATTATGTCATGAAGTATTTGAATAGTTATAATTACAAGAAGAATCATTCCAGCACTAATGGGTAGAGTGCAATGAAAAGACATTGAGAACAAATACATTTTTGAAACTAGAGTTTTGCATGCTTATAAATGCGGATTAGTGCAAGATACTGTTGTCTCACTGTAGTTGAAATTAATATTGAGAAATTAATTGAGAAGAGTAAACAGAGCTCTACAGCTTTTAAACACTGTAGTTGAAACAAAGATCAACGTGTACAAGACTGTATAAATTATTTTAAAAAACATTTGTACAACTGGGTGCTTTCAATATGCTAGTGCTACAGAGCTAGTCTACATATAAAACATGTTGGATATTCCCGTACTGTGTCTCAGTTCATAATTAAGTACAGTAAGTGTTGCAGCTATAGGAACAGGGTACTCGTTTTCTTCTGGATGGTCAGATGAATCATAGCAGTAATATCTTCATTGTTTGTGGTTTGAACTTTTAGAGTCAAATCCTGTACCACTGAGACGACAAGAAGCCTTGTGTATGTGTTTGGGAGAACTAAATGTCAGAAAGATTAAAAAAAAAAAAAAAAAAAAAAAAAAAATTGGTTTCTCTCCTGTGCTTTATAGGGTTTTTTTGGTTAAAGTTATGACGCTGTCACAAAAACAGTGGCCGACATATAGGAATATGCTTCTATTATTCTGAGGCATCTTTCCTGCAGATTGCAAAAGTTTTGGTTTTGTTTTCTCTACGTGCCTCAATGCTTCTGGTTCCATCTGGAAGCGGACATCAAAGCTCTGCAGTCCCACGAGCAAGCTAGCACTTCTCTCTTGAACTGAACCAGGAAGCGCTGGAAGGCTTGCGGAGAGGCATGCTGTCACAGGCTGGGAGCCAGGGTGCTGCAGAAACTCGTCGCTCCAACTTACTTCAAGGAGCACCGGATCATGTTTTTGAAGATTGATGTTTAGGTACGCCATACAAACCTACCTGGACATCTCATGGCCTGGTTTTGTACTCCATCATAATACATATGCTTTAGAAGGAAGGGCCTCTTTTCAAGCACAGTATTATAGTAATCAGACAGAAAGCAGAGGAGAAGCTCATTCAAGTTAACTGGCAACATGCTGTGCACATTATGAGACCTCACTTTCAGTAGACTCATAAATTCCACAGTATTTTGAATGGGGCTGTGTTGAAGAACAAAGCAAAATGGGCTGCCTTTAAACATGATTCGGTTTCTGCGCTTCCCTTCTGTGAAGGTTGGTAACTTCTGAATTAGAGTAATTACTACAGCTTCTGGTTTGCAGCAATTAGTCTCCTTCCTGCTTTAAAATACACAGTATTGAAAAGGTCAGGACAGAAACAGAGAGATTCTCTCAGTGTGTAGCTGCCCACATCACCCTGAGTGTCTGCACACATGTATGTCTAGCTATAGATGTGTATTTATCTTTACAGAAGGGACCAAATGTGAATATCCCTTTGAAGTTTTTCAGGAACTCTTCAGAAAATGTTTTAAAGATGTACTTAGCCAAACTTCTACATCATTTTGTGCTTAGGAACACAGACTACATGCAGCCACCGTTACTCTTCCCTTTTAGAGGTATAAAGAAATGTAAAAGATAAGACATGGGCACAAAACTATATTTTGAGAGTGAAACATTAATTTACCTAACCAGATAATTTCGATTCCTTCGCTACAGATGCAAAGATAAAAGACAGAAAATTTCATCCGATAGGTAAGGGCAGAACTGGGTGAAAAACAGCTTTTTCAACTGTCAGGGTTTGCATTAATGTTGGGACTGTGAGCTGAACTAACAGCTTGCTGCTGCCAAAAGGGGGAAGTCTTGCTCTCTGCACTTCCCTCCCGTCTTTTCCTTAGCTACCAGTCAGCCACCCCTGCAGCCAGTGATGGCATCCCTTTGCCCAGGAGAGAAGCCAGTTTACTCCCTGGCAAAAAAATATATTCTTGTTTTTCTTTTGGGAAGGTGAAAGGTATGGTTTTTAACTTTTTTTTTTTTTTTAACCTTTTTTTTTTTTTTTTTTCTTCTTCTTTTTCTTTCCATTTTAGTAAGTCGAATGAGCTTCCTCGGCAGGCAGACAAGTGCTAGATCTGGCTGCTGGGGAGAAGGAAGTGGGGAAGATGGAAATGAACAGATCAGATGGATGCTGGGGGAGCGGGGTCTCCTTCTCCCTCTCTGTGGTGCAGAACCATGAGTTCAGCTCTGGCCATTTAAGAAATCATAACTTTATAACACAAAGGGATCAGAACAAACAGTTTGGTTTTGGTGGATCCAAATCCTAGTTTTTTGCACAAAGCCAAATTATTAAAGAAAGTCAGATCTCTCAAAATACTTCCTTTCACATGAGAAAGATGTATTTGTTCTCAAAGAGGTTTTAGGTCTTTATTTTTGAATGAAATGAATACAGAGTTTCAGATGAAATGTCATCTAACCCTTAACATAGGAACACTGTTTTGAGACTGTCAGAACAAAAGATTTTCCCTTAAATTTCAATTTAAAAGTTTGGCAGATTTGGTACAAATTCAGGAAACCAGATGGCTTGGCTGAATTTTGTTGGCATCTCCAAATAAAAATTACTTGAAAAATGTAACTGAGATCAAATGCATCTTCTGGCATGTGCCCATGTGAGGCTGCAAAGAACTTGTGGGGAGATGCAGGGGCTTTTGGGATCTTTGTAACATTTACCTTCCTCTCCTTTGCTGTTCTTTCTCTGATTTATTTGAAGCTGACTCTGGGTGCTGGATGAGAGTTAGTTGAAGTCCAACTAAGAGCTAGTCTCTTTCCAGATAAAACAGAGATTAAGTACCTGCTGATCTTGATTGCCTGTATAAATTAGAAATGACTCCACTGAAATTGGTCAGTTGATTGATTTGGCTTTCCTGTTTCTTCTCTCTAGTATGCTAATACTTGGACAAGCCAATCAGGACCAATCCCTCTCTGTACTGGACGTGGTACAAGTATGTGGTGATGGACATTCAAACTCATGACTGATTTTCTGTGAATTTTGGCTGCATGCAGTGAATGTCTGCACTCAAAAAAATTGGATTAAAAAAAAAAAAAAAAAGTTAATCCCATCTCCAGACTTACCTGTAGCCCAATACAAAAAGAACAAAACTGATCTGTCTGAAGGAATTCCCAGTGGGGTGTATTGTATTAACTTCAAATTGGTGTTTGCCTGAAACCTTCTGTCCCCGAGCTCTGGCACAGAGAATCTGTATCCTGCAGCCAGGCTGTACCCTGTGATCAGATCTTTGTAAAACTCTTGAAGGGGGGAAGGAAGCAAGTGCAGACATGTGACTTAAAAACATTTTTACTTTGTTTTGAAACTGAAGTGAGGTGATTATTAAATTTTCCATGAGTCATCTGGCATTGCTAACTTACCCAAAATTGTGTATAGCACTTTGGTCTTCAATTTACCCCTTCTCACTCTTCCATACCAAATATTCTGTCCTCAGTAAGATGGGTCATTTTACTCAAAAAGGGATACTACTAGGAAACAGAACCTCTGAAGCCCTGTGTCGCTCCCTGGCAGCTTTTTCTCCTGGAAAGCTTGGCTGAGAGTCCATACCATGAGAGGAAGGATTAGAGTCTTCCCTCACAGTAACGGTGTAGCTCAGGATTCACAAATGGCATCTGGCCTCACAGAAGGCAGGGAGATACCTATTACAGAGGAAACCTCCACCACTGCTGGTGATGGTGCGCACTGCCATTACTGCTGTGCCAGTGACAGCGCCAAGCAGAGACACCATGGGTACCCCTACTTATTCTCCACTGTTACTGATGAAGGGCCTTCTGTCATTCAGTATGGACATACTATTTTCCCTAGCTTGAATGCTTACAGGATCTCTTTTTCTCTGCAGGTCCTTCTCTTGAGGCTGGTTGGACACTGGAGCATTGGTTGCATCTTGCAAAAATGCAGCCTCTCATGCTAGGAAAAGGTTTTAGCAAGACTCCCCTGAGATATGCCATTTCATATTCCTGCTCCCAGGCTGTGAACATCTTTTTCTTTCCTGATCTCAGACCAGAACCTGACAGTTAATGAGCTGGGCTTGGGCAGCCTCAGACTCTGCTCTCCCAGATGCAGAGCCACACAGGACAGAAGCCTCCAGCACTTGCTCCAGAAGAGGTTTCTAACTTCTTCCTAATCCCAGCCTACTAATAGTGATGTCCAAGGGCCCTGGTAAACATCTTTCTTATCTTAGATGGCAGACCTAGGAAAGAGATGGGAGAGTACTGTAAACATAAGATGGGATTGCAGTGCTTTCATTCAGTCCAGCTACCTCCAGATGAGGCTGTACAGAGCCTGCATGTCAGTAGAACCTTCAGTTTAGTCTGTCAATTCATAGATTATACTTAAAGGAACATTGTTGCTGAGGCCCTGGTGGCTTAAGTATATAAGGGAGGATTTAAGATCTGCAGAAAAAGATCATATTTTTTATTAGAGCAACAGATATAATTGGAAAGAACAAATTTTTCTTAAACGTCTTTTGAAGGTATCGATCCCTATATGAGCTGGTGTGCTGAGGTCCACTGAGATAGTTAATTTTCTTCGTAACAGCCTGTGTGGTGTTATGCTTTGGATTTGTGAACAAAACAGTGTTCATAACACACCCATTTTTAGCTATTGCTGAACAGTGCTTGCATAGTGCCAAGGTCTTCTTTGTCTCTCATGCTGCTCTGCCAGCAAGTAGGCTGGTGATGGGCAAGAGATTGGGAGGAGACACAGCCCAGACAGCTGACCCCAAAGGGATATCCCCTACCATGTAACATTGTGCTCAGCAACACAGCTTGGGGGGGAGTTTGCCAAGGGTTTCTGTTAAGCAAAGACTGACTAAGCATCAGTCAGCTGATGGTAAACGATTGCTTTTGTATCACTTGTTTTTCTTTGATTAGTTTTGTCTTGATCTCAACCCATGCATTTTCTCACTTTTACTCCTCCAATTCTGTCTCCTACTGGGGCTGACACACAACAGCTGGGTAATGAGTTCTTATTGTGAATACGCAAACGTCTATGCCTTTGTTACTCAGAGATTAGGCTGTGGCATGGCTCTACCAAGGATGAGGATGTGCTGGTGGAAGCATAGCTGAAGTGTGTGTGGAAAGTGTTCAGAGGTGTTTAAGTCATTCAAAACTTTGGTCTAATACATTCACACCTCCCACTGCATAAACTGAACTGGTACAATCCGGATAAAAAAGAAAGATCTGGGGGAGGAAAAGGTGACAGAGGAAAAGGTAGGCATATCAAGCAGGGCAAACCAAAGTAATGTGGTTTCTCTGAGGAACTATAGCATGGCCTGTAAATTTCTGAATTATGATTTCAGACTCGAAGGTAATGAGGGACTCTCCAGTGGTTCATTGCCTGGAGAAAGCAATTCTGATACTCCTTTCATTGCACAACTGAGACCAAATGAATTTGTACATTTGCCATATACAGTAAAACTGGACACTCAGAAAAAAGCATCAAGGTATTTCTTTGGAAAGATACTGGCTGTGACATAAAGCTGTGGTAGGTTGTCTTTCCCTTTCTTGCTCAACAAGGCCACTTGCTAAAACTGAATGCTGGGAGGTGATTGCAGGCTCTTCGTGCCTTATGTGTATCCAGACTCACCAATTAACTTCTCCAGCAGTTTGCTGCCACAACTGACCTTGGAAAATGAAGCATTTCTGCATTTAAGAAGTGCTTAGAGAGGACTCTTTGCTGCCGGTTCCACCTGCCAGGGAGTGACATCTGTATATCGAGGGAAGAAAAAAGTCCACATAAATTTTGGAGCTTCTGTAAAAGCCATTTCTCACTTTTCTGACAAGCTGCTTTTCCTCCCATCTGCGTTCTCCGCACAATTGCTTCTCGGAACCAGGCCCCCAACAAGGTATTGTTTGAAAGGGATAAACATAGCGGGGCTGGATTGTTAAACATTTGACAAGTGTTTGTGATATTACACAGCTGGCATATAAAATACCTTGTGGAAGGACAAGGCTTAAAGCTTGTTAACAGCTCTCTGTGGAGCGAAAGCCCCGTGTTTGTTCTGGATTTGGCTTCCTCTTTTTTTGGTCAGGAAGATATTCCCAGGTACTCAGGGAAGGTTACTTGTCATTTTTTCCCTCCTTCATCCACTGTCTTTTTTAACACTTGACCTCTTCCCACAATACATGACTCTCATTCTGCAGCATCTCTCTCTTCCAATCCTGCTTTCACTCTGCCCCGGGAAAGGGTTCAGATCACACTAAGGCATGCTGAAGTGCAAAACCAAGTGTAGTCAAGAGAAATGAATTTCTCCAGCTTCTCTCAGCCATTCTCCTCAGTGTTGGTGCCGCTCCAGTGCTGACAAATATAGATAAGGTCTTGTGTACTTTTAAGTTGTCTTATTTTTCTTCAGCTTCAGCACTGGCAGATGCATGCTGTGCTTGGTGCCTTGTTGGCTTTGGAGCCCTGCAACCATATTCTCTCATATTGATCATACTTAACAGTTCTGCAGTGCATCACTTCAAAGCCTAGGTATTAGCGACTTGTAGAGGACAAATGCTGTCACCTGGTTTGCCCTTCTCCTTCTATACTTCTTCCTGCAGGGGGAGTAATCAAATTCCTCATAAACTGAGCAGGCCAGCTCCTTCTGACTTCAGTGGTCATGGTGCAGCTCTAGAGACACATTGCAAAGTGTCATGTAGCTCAAGAGCTTCTGCTCTTTTACAAGGACTGCATTTACTGATCAGCCAGAAAACTCTGCTCTTACTCCAGATTTTGTGGGCCAGGAACAATCTGTCCCTAAGTCCTCTCCTGTGTTTACGATTTGATAAGATAGAATAGTAGACGGTCAAATAAGGAAGTTTCCAATGAGTCCATATTTCCACATAACTGGCACATGGCAAGTCCTCTGCCAGAGTGTGCCTACTAGCCTGCTAACAAAATGAATCATGAATGTGGATGACTTGAGAGTCAAATATTTATGGTGGATCTGAAACAAAAATGTCCAGGCTTGCTGCCATACAGAAAAAACTGTAAAGCCTTTTTTTTTTTTTTTTTTTTTTTTTTTTTTTTTTTTTTTTTTTTTAGGTTTTCATGAGTGGAAGCCTAAAAACATACAGTAATTTAACATTTGGGATTTGGTGTGAGGTCATGAGCACCATGAAGGTTTCTTCTTAGTTTCATGAGCAGCAGGAATGCTGCAGAGCAAGTGGTTTCCTTGTTCTCAGCATGCCTGCTATTAGTGCCCATAAAGTCTCTGAAATAACTGCAAGGAGATAAACCTAAGACACAATTTTTCTTCCTCCTACCCTTCTATTTTTCAGGCTGGGCAAGAATCCTGTGGTATTTTCAGTGGAAATACTGAGAGACAAGTGCTTACAGAGGGATTTCCATCAGCTACACCAGGACAGGAACATTGCTTTGGCTATTTATCAACAGAGAAAATAAATTCTAATATCCATGCCAGTCAAAGCACTTGGCGCAGGGCTAGATTAATCCGAGAATCTGTGTTTGTGGGGGCTGGAACTGACACAAGATGGATTTGCTCATTATCATTAGCACTTTGTTTGCTATTCTTGACAACACAAAGAAGGCAGGGGTCATGTACATAAAAAGTCTAAATTACTGTTCATTTGGACTACACGAGCTTCCCTCTTTCATTCAACAAAGCTGGCTTGCTTTTGCTGCTTCTCTGCTCACTGGCAGAGTGTCAAGGTGGTTGATATGCCTTAGACAGCCATGTACAAAGGCAAGGGCCTTGCAAGAGGCTGCATGGACTCTGTGGGCTTCCTCCTGCTGCAGACAGGCTGGGAACCCTGCAGCATCACGTGCTTTCCTAGTAGGCTAGAAAACAGATCAGAAGACTCAGTCTCCTGCTCACTGTGTGTCCCATGGAGGAGATGACTGATGGCAATAAATAACATATCAACAGACATAAAGTTGTTTTAGTTAGTAACAGGAAAGTAAGACAACTGGAAACTTTCTACGATGAAGAAGAAATTTAGGAATTGTTTACTGTTGTCTTTTTCTTCACGATCCTGTGGTAGCTTGGAAATATATGAAACAAGCAGAAGCTTACCTCCTTGGTCCTTTGGATGGCTGCTTAATATATATTCTCATTTTACCTGTGCCTCTAGTGCTGGAGAAGGCATTTGCAAACGGCTTCTATCATTTTAACAGGTGACTCATTTTCCATGAGATTTACTTAGAGGAAAGCCCCAAGAAACACAGTCTTTGAATAGGATAATGCTACAGGAAAATCTACTTCCTAAGAAGAATTTATAGCTTTCCAAATGGCCCCAATTTAAAAGAAATGAAAAGGGAGTATGGTCTATTGGCTACGGAATGAAATTAATGCCAAGGAAATCCTTTCAGTAAGGGCCTATATATCTTTCAGTTAGCTTGGGCTTAGCTTTCTGTCAATGTTGTCTATTTTCCAGCATACTGTGAAGACTACAAGATATATGAGACAGAAAACTTGTAGGAAATTTTGGAATCAGAGTACATGCATATCACCTTTGCCTGTCAATGCATGTAGTCTGAGAGTCTATGCATTTTAGTTTTCTGGTGTCTAATAAGGTAACAGCTTTGAATAAAACCTTTCCAGCTGTTGAAGTGCTCTGACTGCCTATTGCCATTTGTGGATTTTCTGGTGTTCAAAAAGCAGCTGAGATTTTACAGTATCATTTGCCCCAGTGGAAGTACTAATAGTTTTGGGGGTTTGGGTTTTTTGTTTTGTTTTATTCTTTCCTGCAGGGCTTCAAGGTTTCAGGACCCTTACAGAAATATTTTGACTCTGAAACTTCTATTGCTCTCCTGATTCAGGCTAGAGAATTAAAAAGGATGGAAGGAGAAGGGAAAACCGACAGACTAAACCACTTTGATACACACAGAGACATGTGATTCATATAAGCTTCGTTTCCTTAAGAAACAAGACTGAAAAGTGCTGTATCTATACTTGGTATTATTCTATAGCTGGCAATGCACTTTCAGCTTCCTGTAGTAATGGCAAAATTAGTACTATTTTTATGAATTTTTTTGAAGACTTCCTCCACCTCTTCCCCTTCCCCTAATCTTTTTTACTATTTCCTTTAATCCAAAAAGGCCCCACCAATAATCTGTTCACCGTCTGTTTATAAAACTGATACTGCTTAGAAAAAAACATGGGTTTTTTTTTCCCTGTTTGATTTTTCCAAACTGTCTTACATCATCAAAAAAACACTGGTTAAGGAGAAATTATCCTAGGCATAGGCCATGACAAAAAAGTGCAAGGTACCTTCTCATCAAGGAAGCATCCAGAATATATGAATTCCACCAGGCATAACATGGTCATATGACATTTGGCTAAAGCAGACAGACTTTTCAGAGACTGAAGATCTAACAAATATAAATTTGCTTGGCTTTGATGGATGAACTCATCTGCATGACAGCACTTCTGGTCCTCCTGGGTCAATCCTCAAAGGTGTTAGACTGCAATATTCTATCCCCTGTTTTGTAAGAACATTGTGTGAAATTAACTTTGTGATATTAAATAAGGAAATTAATACAACCATGAATAGATGAAGGCAGTGTGTACATGTATATAATTTCTCTATTTTTTTTTTTTAAATTTTTGTTTTGGATGCTAACATCTGTTGCTGTGAAACAGCGGCATTAAGCTTGCAGGCTTGGAAACTGATGCTCTGGCAGCTCTGTCTTCCCGAGGAGAGGCAGGGACTTTAGTCTGTGGCTGCTGGTAAGGTCGGAAAGCAGCAGAGGTGGGATTCTGCTGCACTGCATGGGGTGAGGGTCCGGTTCAGCAGTGAGGGAAGCTGTCTGCAGTGCAGAGGTCAGATATTACTGCTCAAGTGATGAAAAACATTTTGCCTGTCCATGTGAGGCACAGACATCTGGCATCAGCTGAGTTTGGAAGGGCAGCCCTAGTTTTCTTCTCCCACTGTGCTCTGTAAGTACAGGTAGCTGCAGTGTGACTCATGCATGTAACAGGAAAAGCCATGTCTGTTACTGGAAGTTCAGTTATTTCTGGGTTGCAGTGTAGCAACTGTTTAACAGAGAAAAGATGCAAGGTAGTTAGTAGTGAATGGAGTTACAGTGACTTTATATGAGCTGAAATTCTGCTGCTTAAAACAACAAAGCACCACAAAACCCTAGTTCCAGCTGCTGGAAGGGGAAGAGGCAGAGGAGCATTGTCTGTTCTTCTTCCACAGAAGTCCCTGATGCAGACTTAAAACATTTCTTGGGAGTGAGCAATACAACTCGGCGGTTCTGGATATATTAGTCAGTGGTTTAAAAATTCAGTAGAAGAGCTTGCCATTTGTTTGTTAATCCTTAAATTCAACAGATTTTCACACTGAAGTTCTGAGCAGCACACCCAAAACAGTTAGGGAGCAACATGGCTCTTACCAGGACTCTAAATTTGGAGACAAAAATTTGTTTTAAATGATATTTTGTATTCGCAAGGGAAAAAAGTGTTTCTGGTCTGAAATTTTATATGGCAACTTTCACCTCAAGGTAATGAAAACAAGCTGAGCTATAAACTCTTCAAAACTGGGGTTTATGGAAAGGCTGACAAATCCTTTACTGGAGTGATGTGGCTGGGAGCACTTTAAAAGATTCCCATGAAGCCTTATTGATCATGATCACACACTCCCAAGCACTAACACCAGGAGGCTGCAGGCAGAAGGCTCGCTGTTTTCAATTACCATGCTGTCCCAGTGGCATGTCCGGCCGCCGGAGCCGTGTTAGCGGCTGGTCATCTGCTGGGCGGG